TCACACGGACGGAGGAGACACGGGGCTCCCGCCGCCCCGTCCTGCGCACCTCAGCGGCCCCGCCRGGCCCGGCAGCCGCCACCGCCGGGAGCTGCGAGCGGGGCCCAGCGCGGCGCCCTCAGCGCGGCTCCGAGCCCGGGGCCGCCTCCTCCCCCGCCGCCCGCCCGCTCTCCCCGCGCCGTTCTCTCCTCACCGGCGCCGCTCGCTCAGCGCTCCCGGTCCCGGTCCCGGCCCGGCCCTGACGGTGACGGCGCGTCGCGGCGGAAGCGGAAATGAGCGCGCGGCGCGTGCGCGGTGCGTGCCGGGAACGGGAAGGGGGCGGGGCCACGGCGCGCGCGCTCGGTGCGGCGAACCCCCGGGAGGGGGGCGTGGTCAATCCTGGCTCCGCCCATAACCCCGCCCATGACCCCGCCCCCTCCCGCGCCCGCATTAACCAAAGTCAATTAACGCCATCAGTGTTGCAGCGCCTTTATTGCGGCCGGTCCCGCTCAGCAGCCCAGCCACGGGTCCGGGCGGCTGCTCCGCGCCAGGAAGGCGATCCTGCGGCCCATCTCGGCGCAGTAAACCCGCCGGCACGCCTCGAACGCCCGCCGCCGCCGCGCCCGGCACGGCTTCTCGTAGTASCGGGAGCGCCGCACGGCCTCGGCCACGCCGTCCTGCGCCAGGATCCTGCGGGAGAGGGGAGCGGTGACAGGCAGGAAGGGTTCTGGGTGTGTGAATGAGGATCGATCCACCTCCCCTCACTGCAAACACCGAGCACAGCTCGCTCCCCTCCCGTGGGGACCCGCAGCTCCTGCTCCTCGCCGTCCATCCACGGGGAGAGCGAGGAGGAGGTGAAGGAATCCCCCGAGCTTCGTTCCGGTTGGGACCGATGAAGGATTGTGCGGGAGTCACAGCAATGGGATTGTCTGCTCCGCTTTCCAAGAAACAGCGCTGCCCCTCACCTGTTCTGTGCTATTCTGAGTTATTCCTYTGTTCCACTGGAGTTCCTCCCGCATCCGAGGGGACGTGCAGGTGATGGGAAAAGCCCGGCATGACCCTCCCGTCAGAAATTCCGGTTCCGAACCCAGTTCGTGAAAAATCTGGGGCCCCTCCAAGCCGAACGCGCCCGGCCCCGCGGTTCCCCGGCCCCTCACCTGTTGAGGACGCCGTACGCCGCCTCCACGTTGCCGTTGTGCACCATCACCGTGCGGCCCACGAAGCGCAGGTGGTTCGCCATGGCCGCGCTGCTGCGGGACCGGGTGGGGAGGCTGGGCTGGGACCGAGCGGCCCCGGAGCGCGGAGAGCCCCGGAACTGCCCCGGGACAGCGAGGGGCGGCTCCTTCCCCACCCGCTCCCGGTACACCAAAGAGCCTCCCGTTCCCTCCCCGCTCCCGGGACACGGACAGAGCCTCCCGTTCCTCCCGGGACACGGACAGAGCCTCCCGTTCCCGTTCC